CACACACACACACACACACACACACACACACACACACACACACACACACACACACACACACACACACACACACATACAAAAACAAACAAACAAACAAACAAACAAACAAACAAACAAACAAACAAACAAACAAGTGTGGCAGTTTATATTTCCATGTTATAGCTGTAGATTCATTCGATTTTGCTCATCCTATGATTCCAATCGATGGACGTACCAGCCGCGGGGCTGGAGACTTACACGTTCTCTCTCTCTCTCTCTCTCTCTCTCTCTCTCTCTCTCTCTCTCTCTCTCTCTCTCTCTCTCTCTCTCTACGTACCATGAGGCCAGCCGCGAGGTTGGAGACTTACACGTTCTCTCTCTTCTCTCTCTATGTGTGTGTGTGTGTGTGTGTGTGTGTGTGTGTGTGTGTGTATGTGTGTGTGTGTGTGTGTGTGGCGTGCACCCTCCTATGGGCAGGGTTTTTTTTTTTTTTTTAATTTCTTAAAAGAATCGGGAAAACAAAATCGACCATGGGGCGGTTTTCTCGACTGCCAGGGGCACCCCCCCATGCCACCGAAACGGGGGTGCCCCTCCCCTGCTTTGTACGGTGCTCTTTGGCAGGGTGCCAGGGGCCGCTTTACCCTGTCAAACTGGGGGTAGGGTGGGGGTAGGGCGGAGGTAGGACGCTGCTCTAAGTTTAGAGCAGGGACCCCCCGTTCTACGCTCCGCCAGACACTCAGACCTTACTTCCCACTCTCTCTCTCTCAGAAACCACAGCTTGAAGTAGGGCTACATATCTTGAAAGTGTTATGAATTCCAAAGTTAAACTTCCTCTACCTTCTCTAATCTCATTTCTTTGCCTTAATTGTTTTGCTTCATAATCCTAGAATACTCTTTTGACAACCTTTGTAATTTTGTCTATTCATATCATCATCAATCATTACAATTTCTACAACCCTGGGTGGATAGGTTTTAAATTTCTCCCATTGTGACGCCCAACCTCATGCCCAGCGCGACTTCCTGATCGGGGTGGAGTGTGGGCCTGGAAGTGCGAAAAGGGGTGTGCCAAGGATTTTTGGGGGAAGTGGGGGAGTCTTAAGAATATGAATGCAATTAGGCGAGCGAGGGGTGCGGGCGCAAGGGACTCACGGTCTGATGGGGCCGGGGCACTGTGGACGACGGGTTACGGAAAAATTCCTCCGTGGTGGAGGTGGTCCCGGAAAGTTAGGCCGTCGGGGGCCACCACGTGGCGCAGGCCGCTGCGTATTTGGGTTGGGCCTTCGGAATTCCGGAGTGCTCGGTGTGCCGCTGCGTCGACAGTTCACGCAAAACGTATTGGGCCAATAGGGGGCTATGGCCGGCCACGGAACGACACTGAGTTGATGATACAGGAGAAGGAGGCGGAAAGGAGGGAAACGGGTGGTGATCTCAACGAATCTTGGGTGGGTGAAGGAGTAGGTGTGGTCGAGGAAAGGAAATCGGAGCACCGAGGGTCGCTAGTGGTGGCACAGTGGAATTCCCGCGGACATACCTGATTACACTGATGTTTGTTGACACGTGTCGATTTCTCTAATTGATCGACACGCGGAGCAGTTCACTTTATGCCACTTACCGTTCGATTGCGTGTGGACGTCATCCAACGTGGCAGTTCTGCTCTTCTAGTAGTTCCTCAGATTGGGCTCTCGATGATCCAAGGACGGGATCTTTCTCGTGCCGTCGCCGCGACACGTGCCATCAACCATGCATCAGTGTAAACAGGGGGGGTAGACCCTAGACCTTAGACGTTTCCGGGAAATGGTAATCGGATCATCGAGGGTGGAGGTGGCGGATGGTTCAGGGGGAGAGGGGGCATGAAGCGATTAATGGCGGGAGAGGCGAAATTAGGAAGGGTAGCGTAGTGGAAGGCGCGATGGATGCGGGGAAAACGAGGGACCTCATGAAGATGACGAAAGGCGGCATTATAGTCGGGGGAGATGGTGGAGAGGGTCCGTCGCAGGGCGGCGCGAAAATCTTTATAATTTTCGCAGGCGGGAATAGTTCCAGACACAATACAGTATATTTCTACGTGGTTATATTCCCGCCAATCTGCGCTAAATAGGAGCACATGAAGGAGAAAGGAGTCAACTGTAGAGCGAGTAGTGACGTGGGGATAGACGGAGACTAGAAGTCGGGTAGCGTAGAGATGGTAGAAAAGGTGATGAGGGAAAGGACACCAACCATCGGGAAACGGGGATCTATGGGGAAGGCGGGTGAGCATGAGGTAGTCACGGGGTCGGCGAGAGAACGACCGGGGACGAAGCCCGAACGCCGAGATCTTGATGTAGACGAAGGGAGGATCGGGACGGGGAACCGGAGGGAGCTGGCGATTCACTTCTTCTTCTTCTTTTGCCACGTGATCCCTCCGCTGTGGTTCCATCGTCCTCCTCCTCTGGAGGCTCTGGATCACGCCATAGGTCCCCGATCGACGGATCGACAGAGGATACGTCTGTTGCGGGTCGTTTTCCCTCCTGGCGCTTCCGTTTCCTTCGTCCTCGTGCTCGTTCTCGCGCCGCGTCGCGCACTTCAGCCTCGAATCCTTCGCACTCCGATCCTGATAGCCCACTTCCTTCTTCTTCTTTTGATTCCACCCCTTCGTCCTTTACCTGCGGCTGATTTGATTCGTCGGCTATCCCTGCCTCTCTTTCCGGTACGTAGTCCGGATCGTCGCGTTCCTCACTTAATGGCTCTTCTTCTTCCTCTTCTTCGTCTGCTCCCCTTATCTCCTTGTCCTGCGCGATGTTTTGTCTCGCCATCGGGTCCCAAAATGTAAGATCGGTAACGTCGATTTCCAAGTACAGCGCCTGGGAGGGATAGAGACAATTGTTCTCGTCGATTTCTGTGCACATGGACCACACAAGGTGCGGCTCGAGCGTTCGAGACAACACGTGGGTGCCAGACTGCTTGTCAATGTGTGACAAGATATCCCGCGGCAAATCGTCCGCCAGCTGAGCCAAAAACACCAGCAACTCGTCCGTGATCAAGGTGAGATTGCCCTCCTCCACCTTCCCGAACAGGAATCCCAGCAGGTTGCCCTGCTCCGCTGTCCTCCAGGCTTGGATGATCAGAAACTCTACACTGTCTTTTGGGTGCTCCGACACTTCTCCGAATGGGGCCGCCTCTGACCTGCGGAACTTTATCTCCTGTAGGCAGAAAGCGAGCTCGATATAGTTCTCCCACCACGCGTCCCACTTCTCCTGACTCAATAGCGGCGCACTGTTCTCCTTAACACGGTAGGAGAGGGTGGGCCCGCGCAGACTGGGTGGGGATGCTGGAGGGGAGGCCGAAATAGGAGACGCGACGAAGACTCATTGGGGCGGCTCGAAGGGACGAAGCTCCGGAAGCACGATCGCGGGCGATCTTCGAGACGAGCGGAGCTGGAGGTCCGTGTCATGCGCCGGTACGATGGTATCTCCTCGTCTAGCCAGAAGATCCGTCCACGCCGTCCTCACTTCCCCAGCCCAAGTGCGCAACGCCCGATAGATGTCGGAGTGATTCGCCGACGGAATCGCTGTGATATCCCCCGTAAAGACGACAATGACAGTAATATGGCTAATCCCGAGAGGGGATAGCCGTCGAAAGGCCGAGATCTCGGCCAGAACGCGCGTAGTTGCTTCTTCTACGAATTGAAACTCTGTCGCCGCGTAGATCGCCGACGTACTGAAGAACGCCGTAAAACGGAGGAGATCTGAGCAGAGATGGGGCCGCTGCACCTGCCGTATGACACTGATTCGCCCCCGCTGAGTAAGAAGCCGCGCGCCGATCACTTGTTCTGTCACAAAGCTCATGGCGATGGTGTCGGGGTAAGAGAGAGAGAAGAGGAGGGAGACGAAGAGATAGGAGAGAGATAGTCGTCGCCTTCCCTATCGGATGGAGGCGAAGATGGAGAAGGAGGAAGGGGGCGGAGGTAGGATACGTGGCGGATGATCAGTCGAGCCGATTGGCTGCCGGAGACCTCGGGCGCAAGTCGCACGGTGTTCACACCGTTCGGTCCGAGTTCGATCACGCAAAATCGCCCGAAGAATCGTGGCGCTAGCTTACCCTGGCGAGCACATTTCCTCACTTGCACCACGTCCCCCAATTTGTACTGGGGCCGCGGACCCGCATTCCCATTTCGGACCTCGTAGCTCCGGACCTCTCGTCCCTGGGCTGGTTCGGTCATTTTCTGCCGCTTTCGGGCTAGCCTGGGCAGCGACCGTTCCATTAGCTCTAGGTGCCGTTTGGCCTTGTCCCGAGCGGTAGCCCTGGTGGGCCGTCGGTTCAATATAGACTCATCCGGGAGGCTTAATATTGAAACGCAAGCGACATTATTGGTCCTTAATTGGAAGGGGATCAGCCCCGTCGATTCCTAGGGCGTTCCACAATGGACCGCAAGGATGTGATCGACGATATCGGGCCAGGCTCTCGGATCCCGTGTCGCGATGTTTCGTCGCAATGCTGCCTTTATTATCCGGTTAGCGTTTTCGACCAGTCCGTTAGATTGTGACATGTGGGGTGCAGTGTTCCGTATGGCGACGCCATGTAGAACCTGAATTCAGCCCCGTTATTAGTCAGGATCTCTTCCGTATCCTGATGCATCCGAGGAATCGGTTCACATATCGCGCGATTTCCATGGCTTGCCGCGTGCGACAAGGATACGCTTCGATTCGTTTCGAGAAATGGTCGACAAATACCAAAAGGATTGAATATTCGCAGCTATTAGGGCCAGGGGGCACCATTATGTCGATAGTGTCCATGCTCACTCTTTGAAATGGCCGTTCAACAACCGTGGGCCCTATCGATCTTGGCGGTTGAATCGACGCTTTGTCAGCGGCACAGACTTGACAGTTGGCGACGATGTATTTCACATCGTCGCAGATATTAGACCAGTACCACTCATTTTTGTCGATAGCGGACTCCGTGATTCGTACGACAAAATGAGCCGCAGTTTCCTCGTGAGCCGTCTTAACCCAGTCATACCGCATGAACGGATGCGGCACCACCATCCAAATCCCACTACCGTCCGTTTTCCGTTTTCCTAATCTACCCTCTATCCATCGATAATCCCGAGCCCTTTCGTTGGCCCTCCTCCGATCTTCCTTGGTGAAATCCTGGAGGGGGTTACCTACTAGGGTGGCAATTAAGACAATATTCGTCCATACTTCGGCCCTTCTAAACTTTTGGGTCTTTTCCAATCCTTCTGACGTGGCATCCAAAAAGCGAGCCTCGGTCGGGATCTTGTTGGTCCGGCACAAGGGGCACAACCATGGTTTACTATCGTTTCTGTATTGGATGTACGAGCCATGGGCCCGTGCAACACACTGTCGGCAATCTATCCAATCCGCATATCCTACACCGTTAGGACGCATGGAGACCGAATAGATGCGGGAGATGGCTTCGCAAAAATAGCAAAATTTGTCAGGCAGGGAGAGGAGAGACGAAGAGGAAGGGGGGGAGAGAGGGGTAGTGGGGTTACCTCCATCACCCATCGCCACTGTTTTGCTTCTTGCCACGTGGGAGAACTGCCACTTGTCCGTACTTCGGCTTGTTGGTCAAGTACGGCTCTTTCCACGGTGTAATTTCCTCGCCCTTTGGTACTTTGACAAGTCGGTGCAGACGTGTCAGCCCGTCCGCGTTCCCGTGCCACTCGGTCTTTCGATGGACGATATCAAAGTCGTATTCTTGTAGTCGCACCGCCCAACGGCCAATCATGCCCGTGTAGTTGGTGAGTTTCTTTAGCGCTAGCAGAGGCTCGTGATCCGTTATGAGGCGAAACTTCTGTCCGTTGAGATAAGGATGGAAGTGCTGGATTCCCCAAACTACCGCATAGCACTCGCCTTGAGGTGCGGAGTTGTTTCTTCATTCGTCCGGTATGGTTCGAGACGCGTACTCGATGACGTGTTCGCGACCATCGTTCCCCTTCTGTGCTAGAATAGCGGAAATAGCTTCCAGAGGCCAGTCCGTGATGAGAATGAATTGCTTCGAGGGGTCCGGCCGAATAAAAATAGGGGCCGTTGCCAGGGCGTCTTTGAGGGTTGCAAAGGCCTGCTGGCACTCCGCGTCCCAATTGAGAGGCTGGTCCTTCCGTAATAGATTCGTTAGCGGTCGTGCGATCGCGGCAAAGCCCTTGATGAAGGGCCGGTAGTACGACGCCAGCCCCAAGAAGGCTCGAACCTGCGTTAGTGACGTGGGAACCGGAGCTTTCTTCACCACCGCGACTTTTCTCGAGTCCGGCCGCAATCCTTCACGTGTCACGACGTTGCCCAAGAACGAAATTTCCGAGAGGAAAAATTCGCTTTTTTCGAGCGCAATCTTGAACCCAGCGTCTCTCAATGCACCCAATGTCCGATCGATGTGTTGCGCGTGCCCGTGATAGGTTTTTGAGTAGACCAGGATGTCGTCCATGTACACGATCATGCAGAAGTTAATCATTCCTTGCGTCAGTCGTGTCTTGTTGACGAAGTTCTGGAATGTCATGTTCATCGCTCGCTGAAACATGGCAGGCGCATTGCAAATCCCCATCGGGTACCGAACCCACTGCCACGTGCCCTCAAAAAACACAAAGGCAGTTTTCGGCCGATCTTCTTCCCTTACCAGAATATGATAGAAACCATGCCGAATATCAAACTTGCTGAAATAATTAGTGCATCCAATCACATCCAACAGATCATCAATCCGGGGGAGGGGATACACATCTTTGATCGTGATTTCATTCAGCTTACGATAATCAATGCAAATGCGAATCGCTCCATTCTTCTTCGTTACTAACACCACGGGAAAGGACCAAGGTCCGGTAGCGGGTTCAATCCAGCTGTTGGCTTCGAACTCCCGAATTCGTTCAAGAGTTTTTTTGCGTTCAGTCAAGGAATACCGATAAGGTTTGCAATGAATCGGAGAGTGATTTCCCATCTGAATTTCATGTTGGATTACTAACGACAACCCAATGTCAGTGTCTGACACACTAATCGCTCCTTGATATTCCGTTAGAATATCCGCAATTACCTGATGGATTTCATCCAACACGTACTGTGGAACGTGCAGTTCGAAAAGTTGGTCCTAGATCCGAACGTCAATCTATTTCGTGTTCGCCTGTTTTGTCAGGTCGGGTGGAGGCACCGAGATGAATGAATGATCCGATCGCCAGGAGAACACCATGGTCATCATCTGGGCATCTTCCTCTTGGATTGCCACGTGTCCTTCTGGGATAATCCCGTCACAAACATCCTGCCATGGCACTTCCTTAGTTGCGATCTTTATGCCCAGTCCGTCTGTTTCTGTTTTAAAACGCCCAGGGGGTTCCAGAGAGCTTGCTTCCGCCCCCAAGCGTAATAATCTCACTTCTTTAGCCGATGTTAGTAAAGACTTAGGTAGTTCCGTAATGTCGCAATAATGCTTTTTGTCGCTATACCTGGCGAGGAGAGGGGTGATCCCTTCGTACAGAGTTTGAGGGGGTTCCGAAGAGTCGACCATCCTCAAAATTTGCACGAGGGGCTCGCCCAAGGTCATCGCCTTGGTCCTTTGAATTTTTCGGCTGGTTAGTTACATCGTTCTCGCTATCGCTCTGGGCGGCGGGTAGTAAACACGTTGTCGTACCAATTTCAAGATCTCCGGATCATCTTCGCCACTGCTTTCCGCATCATCAGATGATTTTCCTTCTGCGGGTTTGTCTTAGGAGATCATGCCGAGAGTCCCTCCCATCATCGGCGAAACCCACGGAACTGCGTTAATAGTAGTGCGAAGGGTCAATCGCATGGGCACAGCGTAAGGTTTTCCTCCTGTATTTCATAGGACGATCGATCATCGTTCGAAATCCAGGTTTGCTCGTAACGCCACGAGAGCGGGAAGTCCTGAAAGAACGTCGTACTTATTAACATCTAGTACTACGACATCCCCAAGCGCGTGTACTTTTCCTAATCGGAAGGCGACATTGGTCATTCTCCCCACAGTCTTAATTTTTTCCTCATCTGCCGAAACGAGCTGATCTTTCTCGGTGAGCATGATCAGATCGTTTTTCCTGCCTGCCCTTTCGACCACTCTTAGTAAAATAGCCAACACAGCTGCTCCTGGGTCTATAATGGCGTTGTAAGGAATTCCCCAAATTTCTATATTGCACTCTGCGGATTTCCACGGAATGGGTTTAATCTGTAGGAAATGATCGTCTTTCTGAATTAATCCTATTCGTATCGGATCCGGATTGCTTGTTGGGTTTTTTTCCGGCACGGGGCATTTGGCTTTTTCGGTCGGTGCTCGAGTGAGAGCGAACCGCTTTCGATTCGCTTTACAGTGCTATAACATTCGCTCATTGACTTGCTCGGAGATCGAGAGTAGATGACCGATCGGAAGGGGAATCCGATGGTCCAAGGCTCGGATGATGTTTAGTACATCGATCTCTCCTGTGACGAAGGTGGGTCCTCCCGATTTCATTTCTCCTAAGGACGGTCGCCACTCCGCCACCTCTTTTGGTTCTGGCGCTGGTTTGATTGCTCCGATCATTCCTAGCCCAGGATATCCCAGCGACACATACTGATCTAGCGGAATTAGCTCGGCGGCCTCTTCCGTGGTGGCCAAGGCACTTCCGCCACCCTCTACTTCTTCCATCAAGGCCCCAACTTGCCCAGGTCCGTTGACGATGGGGGCCTCAGCCATAGGTGCGACTCCGATCCGCTGTTGTGGGGGTCGGTGGGGGCAATCACGGGCTAGATGTCTGGGCCGATGACAGGCGTAGCAAACATTCAGATTGTTCGCAGCTCCTCCGAGAGCAGGGGCGGGGGCTAATCCTTGTTGCATTGGAGGGGCACGCACTGCAATAGGTCGCATGTTCCTGATCATGGCTTCCAGCCGAGCATTGTGCTCTCGCTGCTCCTTTTTGCTTTCTTGGATCAGGCTAATCAAGGTTTTGGTTAGTTCGAAAATGACCGCCGATTCGTTTGATCGTATAGGCGCCTCAACCGGTGGCGGGGGTAATGCCGTGACGGCCGGGGGCATCATAGGAGCAGAGATGCTCGGAGTCTCACTTAGGATTACTTGTTTGGGGCCTATTTGTTCCATATAGGTGACAGGTCCTGATACGAACCGCATGTTTTCAAATTTGTTCTGTAAAGCAGCTAGCTCTCTAAGCGTGGCCAGCCATGCTCCTGCGAGATGGTGCGCTGGATCAAACAGATAGAGATCTGGTGACGACATGGGGGCTCGTACACGTGGGGCAGGTTGATTAGGTGGATTAGCATTTTGTTGCAAAACCGGATTTTGTACATTGGCAGCCATATTGGCTGCT